ATTAGGGAAGAAGTGATTCTCAATCTTTAATGTGCATGTGAATCAGCTGGGAAGTCTTGTTCAAAATGCAGATTCTGACTCAATAGGCCTAGGTGGAGCCAAGATTCTTCCTGTGTAACAAGCTTCCAGGAGGTACTAATGATGACGGACTGGGACTACCTTTTGAGTAGCAAGGCTCTCTTCTAACCCTGTCCTTTGGCTATTTTTGCAAAGTACAAGCAAGTAAATCTACTCATTATGTTAGTACACTTATTATGTTAGTACACTTAATATATAGTACTTGGTGACGCTAAATGGCCCATAAAAACATTTTTAAAATTTCAAATCATTTAGTACTCCAATTACTTTAGTGTTACTATAAAGTCTGCTGATTACTCAAATGTTTATAAAAAGTTATGATTAAAATTACACACATGATACTGAAAAGTTCAGTGTCTCTGGAATGTGGTATTTACCATGGTCAGGTCAGCATTTACAGCATTTTACTTTTGGTTAATAGCCATAGGGCCTTTAAAATAAACTGCAAAGATCACAATAGAGCATATTAGAAGAAGCTTGTCAGTGTAAGACTATAGTGATATTTAATGTTAATCCAACAAACAATTCAGCATTTATCAAGAACCATGCTAGCAACACCAAAATAAGCTGACAAGTTACTTGCCTTTAAGGAGTTTAAAATCAAATAAAGGAGACAGATACATAAGGAATAATAGTAATATAAATTTACTACTATAAAATATACCATAGTAAAAGTCAGTGTAAGATGACATAAGAACATAAGGATGGTCATGGACTCTCTAACAAGATGAAGGATAGATACACGTGATGCCTTGGTGATTGTGCTACAGAGATCATAGCTGAGAGGAGGCTTAAAGTATAGCAAATCTCATTACTGGTAAAGTAGAGAAAGGGAATTCCACACAGAAGAAGTATCTTGTACATGTGTTGTCATAAAGAGGATCCATGATCTGACTATTCATTGCTATGTTCACTGTAGTGTCCAAAGCATTCAGTCTAATTATGTGCCCAGCAAAAACAGAAAGTGTATAGCAGCTATACACATTTCCTTGTAGTAGAATAAGCAAGTTACCATATTCTATATTATGTTAGCTAAAATTCTTTAGGCTTTGTTAACAAAGATTACATTATATTATTTTCCACTTAAAAAAAAATTGCATTGGCTCCTTACTATCTATTAGACTTTAGTAGAAAATTCTGGATATCTAATAGAAAACTTTTAAAGATCAGATCCACAAACTAACTTCCAAACAATATCTTACTAATTCTGTTTAAGTAAATTCTAAATGTTCCTATTTTCACATATTTGTGTATGTTATTTTCGTATAATAAAATCACTTTTTCCTCCTCTTCTATGTCTCCAAATTCGATTCATTCTTTTTTTTTTTTTGAGTTGGAGTCTCATTCTGTTGCCCAGGCTGGAGTGCAGTGGCACACTCACTGCCACCCCAGCGTCAACTTGCTGGGCTCCGGCAATCCTTTCGCCTCGGTCTTCCAAGTAGCCGCAACTACAGGCGTGTGATACTACGCCCGGCCAATTTTTTATTTATTGTAGAGATGAGGTCTCGCCAATATGCCTGGGCTGGTCTTGAACCAACGGACTCAGGCAACCCACTCACCTCAGTCTCCCAAAGTGCTGGGATTACAGGCTTAGCCACCAAGCCTGGCCTTCTTCAATATTCTTAAAGTCCCCCATATTCTCTTTAGTAATAATTTTTCTTACACTTAGTTTCTACAATAAGCTACTTATACATTTTTAAGCAATCATTTCATTTTGCCTTGAATACTATGTATGTTTACTCTTTCTACTCTTGTTTTTGAGAGTAAGAAAATACCTTATTTTTCCTACAACCTTGTTTGCTTACTATAATAAACACTCAAAAAAGGATTACCAAATGAGTAGAAATTGACTACTACCAAGAAACTTATGGAATAGTTGCAAATGGAAAAAGTAGAAAAAAAGATAATGTGGAAAGATAATTTTAAGATACTTTCTAATTTGGAAATTAAATTGATACAGATTCTGTGGACTAACAAATAGGAAGTAAATTGTCTGAAAGATCGTATGAAATTTGGAAAGGTAAAACTGACTAGATAAAGTGGTCTATTAGAAACACTTTAGCGATCTAACTCTGCCTGAGGAAATCCATAATCAAAATTGCTCATTTGTTCAATATAGTATTTAAATCCAAGATCCAATGATATAGATTTATATCCACAAGAAAAATAGACTACCAATTCATGGGAAAGGAGGACAAGTAAGGTGTTTGATGGTACTGACCTATTCATTTGTTAAAATGCTGCAGCTAGGCATTCATTAAGCTAAAATCCAATATTTAAAATGTATTTTGGGGTATCAGCTTGTGAGCCCCCAATACATACAAAACTTTGATCAAGGTCAGTATTATATAACTCAACACCAACATTTATGATAAGAAATATTTAAAAGCCAACCATAATAAGTTTGCTAGAAAGAGAATTTAATGAATATCAATACTCTTATTAATTCTGTGTCAGAACAAAAAGCAGAATTCCTCCATGCTTTTCTTTGAGCTTCATGTACTCATATGTGCATAGATTTAGCAATTACATATTTATGTTATCAAACAGGAATTCCTGTTACTTAATTTAATAGTAAAAAAGATGAAGAACTTTGAAACCACTATCTGGCCTTTGTTCTGCATTACTTCCTACATATAATGTCACTGGAGAAAAAAGAAACTTGGATTAGAGCTTGTTACATTTCATATCTGCCTAAATTGGTAATCAACCTTTATTCAGTAGTTCATGAACCTAATTTTTAAGAAAATTTTCATGTAGTGTCTGTCCTTAGTTGATTTCATAAAATAGCACTTTGGGAACAAGCATATTCAGAGTATTTACCATTAGGAGAAATACATTCTTTCTTCTTGTCAAACAAGTCATGCAAGTACACTGCTTGAAGTAACTTTGAAGAATGTGGTTTGTATGAAACTTTGTAAAGTCAGAACTTCTTTCCTAATTCACTCTACAAATGTACAAAAGCTTGTGTTTTCACCAAAAAAACTTGGAAATCTGAAACGATAGGATTCCTCTGTTTCTGTTCTATCAGTGTTTTCTTCTGTATATCAACATATTAGATGATAGGAAATTAGAGCTTCATGCTACCATACTCATCCTTACGTATAAAATTGTTGTTGTCTATTATGATATTTTTGGGATATGAAAAGGAGAGTAGAGGAATAGCTAAATCATGTGCATTCAGCTACTCTTTGAGTATTTTTTGTATCATGTACATCAGGGTTACAAAGTTTGCTCCTTATTTTATTTGGGTACAATTATCCTATTTATTTTATTTTTTGACTTCATAATAAAGAAAAATGTTAACAGAATTTTATCAGTCTGTTTTTCCAAAAGAAATCATGGCTCATGATACTATTTTCCATTACTATATTTAAAAATATATTTCAGAAAGCATCTCAGGTCAGATACATTTAAAAAATGCTAAGCGTTTAGTTCAAACATAACTTTTAATTATTAAAAACCCGTGACATTCATTTGAGATGCATTTACTAAATGCCCACTATATGAGGAACAGGTATTAGTACAACAAAAATTAATTCCATTCTGCCCTAATTCCCCATTTAACTTTAAATTCAAAGATCTCTGAAATGCATAAAAATGATTTTCAAAAGGGCTTAGGAGACTGCAATTTAACAGAATAGTATATTTTAATAATGTATCATTATTTCAATATTCAACAGTTCATTAACTTGAAGAATACATATATGTATATATTCATATTCCTCATCCATCAATTTGCTATATAGTAAAAACCAACCATAAATTACCAAAACCTTGAATAAAAAAATTTTGCACAAATATATGTTCTTCTCCAACTTCTCCCCTAAAATAGTTTGAATAAGGTAAAAAAAAAAAATTCTGATTCAGTAAAATATAAGTTTTTAAAAAATGCTTCTGTAGAACTGCCAAGGTGCTGTATAAACCAAGGAGTAAATTTTGTAAGCCATTCTTTTCTTTCTTTCTTTTTTTGTTAAACTATGTTTTCTTCTGTAACTACTAAGGAATATATAAGCAGAGGCAAACCCTAGTATTATTTGATGATCAAACAAACACACCAAAAAGGGCAAAAGCGCCAAGGGTAATTCTATTGTTCCTTTAATCAGTGACAAAAATACCTAGAGGAGGGTCCAAGGTGAGATGTGGAATGGAGGCACCAGTAATATTTATATGCGAAACTTATCTTTTAAAGTGCATGTCACCAAAATGATTCGATATCACTATTTTAGCAAAGCAGTAAGCCCAAACATTGTAACATGCCTGGAAAGAATGTGATGCATGCATAAACAACTTTCCCTCCACTTGTAGACATACGTATAAACAACATAAAATATAATTATGAAAGCTTTTGATAGACTGTTCTAAATGTAAGATTTTACATAGAATAATCATGCTTTATTTTAGAATAAAATAAAACTTGTAAAACTGAAATAAGTTGTAAAACTGAAATAACTTTCACACATGCATTTAAAAGTAAAAAGTGGTTAACATCATAAAAATTTAATTATAAATTTAGGAGTCTTCTTGCCTCTTTCAAAGTTTAAAACTTATAAATACAATAAATTTTAAAAAGTAAACAGATCATTGTTTCTAAAACTTAGTTATTTCATTTTTATATGGGAGCAACAACAGAAAATAGTACCATACACTTTCTAGTTGTAAGAATTTCATAGAAAATTTTCTCACTGATATTCAACTTAGTCAAATATAAAACAAAACAATGATGAAAGCTACATGATTCTGCTCAACTTATAATCAAGTTTTTGTGGAATTCTTTCAACTTCATCTACAAAATGTCCTTGTGCAAAATCTAAAATGACAAACAAAATGGGGTTCTTTATGTCTGATTCTAAGACTCCAATTATTATTTTAGCTGTTAGTTATATTGTACCATTAAAAAAAAAAAAAAAAAAAGAACTTACTTGATCTGTCCCATGAGGCAGTATGTTCAGAGAAATGAAGGCTGTCATTTTCCAGAGCTGTTTTCTGATCATGTGCAGTACCTTTAGAGTGTCTATGAAATAATCGGCTAGCAAAACCTTCCAACTTCTGAAGAGCGGTAGTTGTACCTGTATACTGGTTACAGGGCAGTTCTCTATAAGCTGCCATTCATGTGCATTTACACTTTACTTAAAGTAACTGCAAATATTTCCAAAAGGAGCTCAACAACTTCTTACTCAGAAGCTAAGAGCTATGCATGTGTCAAACTTCCTGTTTGCAGGGTATTCAAACCACTACTGCTGTTCTGTTTCCTGTTAATATAAAACAGCACATTTCTGAGCTTTTCTTTGCAAAACTTTTCATCTCAACTAGAGACGGGGATTTTTAAAACTTGCAGTATCTGTTTTATGTGTGAATGTTTTAATATTAATATACAGGTAAATGACAGCAATAAACATACAGCTTTATGTAAATAGTAGGCAGAAAATTTCTTTTAAAAAAGAAGACTAATTAAACATGTATTACAACCAGTGCAAACAACTAAAGGCCATACTAACCTCCAAATACAACATGCGAAAGACAGGCTGTTATTTTTCCAGCAAATCAGCTAAAATACAGATTTTATGAATCCTTACAAGCAGATAACTTTTTACCAAAAACTGGTATGAAATGTATAAGACAAAACTCTTGCAAAACAAACATATAATGCCTATGTTATTACTAAAAGAAAAATCTGAAATAGCACTTAAATAAACCTGATTGTTACTAACTCAGTAATTTAGGTCTAATATATACAAGAACTACAAAAACTCAGAATGACAGTATTGCTTACCAAACTTGTAATTTGCTGACAAATGTCTGACTACCTGCAATGTACTTTAAAAATTCTAAAATTTGAAAAAAGGAACAAAATACAATATTTAAATTATATAAAATCAGTCATAGCAAGAAATTTCAATTAGAAGAAAAACATTTTCTTCTAGTTGGCTGAGACATGTTAATTTTAAAATAACAACACTGAAGACTACTGCTTACCTAAACCCCTGATTTTAGTGGTCTCACTTAAAAACTTCTCTTTTGTTTAAAAGTAAATAAAATTTGCCTCATCAATTTTCAGGGAAAAAAGTAACTTTTTTGGAATTTAACAAGAATTTTGAGTACTTGCTTTTTGACACTAATTAAAAGATGAGAAATTTGTGTTGATCTCTTTGGAAGTGGAAGTGGAAATGGAAGGGAAGAGCAGAGAAGAAAAGGGAAGAGAAGGGAAGAAAGAAAAGGATATTTTAAAAATATACCTAAAAAATATCTTAGTCCAGATTTCCTATCAACTGTTAAACAAAAATAATAAATAGAAACCATAATGAAAAACAAAAATAGGAACAATAATGTAATCAAATTAGGACAATGCATACACACACACAGTCATTTAGGAAATACTGACTAATGAATTTTGCCATGTAACAGATCATTTGTTACATTTTGTTTTGTGCAATAAAACTAATTTTAATCTAAACAAATAGGCAACAGTATCTATAACTAAATTTCTTAAATGTGTAGTTTTATGTATAAATAATTTGTTTATTAACATTTGACAGTGCCTTACACAAAACAGACACCGATTAAGGGTCTGTGGTCTTTAATAAACATCTATAGAGCATGAACTGAGTCTGTATAGTAAGAAGTGAATAAAATTCCTAAATTCCTTTGAGGGAAATTTTATTCAAGGTTCAGTACAAATATCATCTCTTCGGTGAAGTCTCCTGCATACTACCTAACCAAAAAAAAAAAACAAAAAAATCTATTCTCTCCTTTGTTTTCACTGATCATACAATATTATGTTGAAATTTGCTGTTTATTAATTTATGTGACCCAAACAGTGAGTTATTTAAATTCATAAAAGCAACGCATGCATTTCATACTCAATAAACATACGTTAAATGAAGAAAGTATTAATTAATTTTTAATAATTTAAAGGTTTAAGCAGAATCATTAAATAGTTGAAGATTTAAAAGTTTTGTTTATAATAGGAACATATTTGTTAATAATCCAACAAGGACCAAGTTTTTCACATAGACAACAGTGATAGAAGTCAAATCATTGAACTTCTTTTTATCTATATTCAGCAACTAAATTGTATTCATTCTTTGAGTTCCATTTTCACTCAGTGCCAATGTGGATTTCTTAAAACAGCTTCTTGTTTCCCCACTTCCAGTCACCCGCTTTAAGTATTCACCCTCAGACATATTAGCCTCCCCAAAATGTTACACTCATGGTATTCCCTGGACAAATACACAAACTAATCCTAATATTTCAGCCCAACCATATTCATTTTTAACATGTCTAGCCAGACTTATTTACATTCAACATTCCTTAAGCACAGAAATTCCAGATTCCTAACTAGAACACTAAGTTTTAAAATAAAATTATTATAGTAGGAAAAAAGTAAACTTCACTAGATGAGTATCTCCAAAACACTACATTTTAAATCTGCACAATTGTTTTAAAAATAAATTTTCTTCTACTTGTTATAAAATCCTTACAAAAAGTAGACTACCTTGTCTCCAAAGTCATTTTTCTATATATGGTAACATGGCTAGGAAGCTGCTGCTATGGAAGTGCTTAGGCAACTTGATTTTCACTTTAAAAAGAAGAACTCTACTGGCATCTGCTGCTAGAAAGAAACAACTACAGTTTTAACTAAAACTGAATTCCTTCACAATTCAAAGTAACTTTAAGAAGTATATTGCTTGCTAGTCTTCCTGATGGCATTTTCAGAACTTTAATTTGCCCTGAATGTCTGGCTATGTATCCAAAATTAGCCACAACAGCATATCTTGTGATTAAATAATGTTAAGATTTTTAAACTAGCATGTAATCAACATCATGAGGTTATAAAATATTTGTTCATTTTGCATTAATTTAGAAATTATAGCAATTTTCAGAGTTGAATCTGCTTTAACTGTCAAAATACAACACACGATGCCGGTTTTTGTCATTTAATATATTAGCCAAGTACTTTACAACAAACTTGTAAGAGTGATATGTGTTATGAAGTCGTGAAATTACCGTCAAGTTTATAAGATTCCTCCAAATAAAGTAAGCAGTACAGGTATTATGATCTGTATTTTAAGATGCAAAATCAAATTTATAAATATTTAGTGACTTGCCTAAAGTCACCTACGTCTTCTAACTTCTAGACCAGGACTCCTGGACTTCAGGATGCTGATTACCAGAGGAGGAAAGCATTTTTTCAAATGTAGTATTTTTCAAACAAGGGTGGGGAAGTGGGTGTGAAAGAACAGTGGTGGGTAAGATTGGTTCTCGGATATATTGTACAGGATCTAAGAATCGGCTATGAGAATGTTTTCATTCAGATAGTCACCTAGAGTCATTCAATGTCACTGTTCATATTTGTTTACAGTCATGTTGGGCCAAGTTGAACTATGTACTTTAGAGTCGGAAGGTTAAATAAAACATAAAAGCATATTTAATATGTAAATAATGTATTTATTCCATGTGGAGGACAAATGACATGACTATGACCCCTGCTATTCAAATAAAGGTTTTAGGGCAATAGTTTTACTTCTTCCAAAATGTTATGAGTGGATTAATATACTATGTAATCTTTTAAAACTGGCTTCTTTCATTTAGCAGTATACAATTCAGATTTATATATGTTGTGTCTCTTAATAGTGCACTCATTTTTTTTATTGCTAAACAGTATTTCATAGTATGGATTTACCACATTTTATATATCCATCCATAATTGAATTGTCTTTGCACTTGTGACAAAAATCAATTGAGTATATTTGAACGGTTCTATTTCTGGACTTCATTCTCTTCCACTGGCTTACATGTCAGTTCTTTCACTAATACTGCAGTGTCTTGGTTACTGTAGTTTTCTAGTAAGTCTGAAATCTGATAGTGTCAATCTTTCAATTTTTTTCTAATTTGTTTTGGCTATTGTAATTCCTTTATCTTTCCATATAAATGTCAAAATCCGTTTATCTATGTCTACAAATATAATCTTGCTAGAATTTTATTTGGCTTGTGTTTATTGGGAGAAATGACATTTTAACTACATTGAGTCTCTCAATCCGTAATCATAGTATGTCTATTTATTTTGCTCTTTGATTTCTTTCATCGGTCTTTTATATTTCAGCTTACAGATCTTGCACATATTTTATCTATGAATTTTTAAATTGAAGCTACTGTAAATGGTACTTTGAAAAAATTTTTACAATTGTTAATTGCTGCTACATAGAAATATACCATTTTTATTTATTGTTGTATACTGCAACCTTGCTAAAGTCACTTATTAGTTTTAGAAGTCTTTTCTTTTTGTAGATTTCTTGGGATTTTCTAAGCAGGCAATCATATCATCTTTGAAAGTTTTTCTTTCTTTCCAATCCCTATGTCTTTTATTTATTTGTCTTGGCTTATGGCACTGGCTAAGACTTAACTTACAACATTGAGGAAGTGCTGAGAGTGAACCTCCTTGCTTATTCCAAGTCTTAGAAAGAAAGCATTCAGATTTTCATCATTAATTATGATGCCAGCTGTAGACATTTTTTTTATAGGTGTCCCTTATTGAGATAAGAACATTTCCTTCATTTCTGGGTACCTGGAAGCTTTTATTTTGGAGAGATGTTTCACCTATTGGTTTTCAGCATCTGCTTATATGATCATGTGGCTTTACTTCTTTAGTTTGCTAATATGGTGGATTACACTGATTAATCTTGAAATAAGTTTAATTTTGAACCTGCCTTGAATTCCCAGGATAAATATGGTCTTGTTGTAATATTCTTGTGTTTCATGTTCACAAGCAATATTGCTTTGTAGTTTATTTTCATTTGCTGTCTTTGCATGATTTTGGCAGCAGGTTAAAGTTTGCCTCATAAAGTAAGATGAAAAGTGTTCTGTCTTCTATTTTCTAGAAGAGATTGTGAGAACTGGTATCATTTCTTCCTTAACTGTTCAGTAGACTTTTCCAGGAAACTAGCTGAACAGGTTTCTTTCTTTTCTTTCTTTCTTTCTTTCTTTTTAGAATATTACAAATACTAACACAATTTCTTCAATACATACAGCACCACCATCTTTTTCAACTTGAATAAGTACTGGTAGTTTGTGTCTTTCAAGAAACAGTCTATTTCAACTAAGTTGTCAAATTTATGTGACTAAAGTTGTTTCTAATATCCCCTTATTTTCTTTTTAATGTCTGTGGCATTTATACAACACTATATTATTTATTTTGCTGGTCAGATTATTCCTGCTTTGACCACAGGAAGCTCTTCCAATTACTTCCTAATTATTCTGTATGTGTGTGCATGTATGTGTGCATGTGTATTTAAGCACCTCCCTACTTTCTAGCACTACAAGATGCCCTGTGCTTACTTTGCATATTTCCTGCACCAGTCCTCGCATCGGCCATTTCTCCAAGGAACCCTATATTCTTTGACTAAAGA